TTGGAGCTGAAGTGGGCGAGCCTCTCGCCAGCTTGGAAGCAAGCATTTGAAGAGCCGATCAGGGACGCGCTCGATGTGTACTTCAAGTACGACGCTGTTGCTCCGGTGTTTGAAGACGAGGAGATCGACGCGTGCAATGCGTCAACAAATCTGACCCTCACAACGTCAGTCCTCTGGATGAGCAGCTGGAAGATGCACGGTTGAAGGCTCGGGACAAAGAAGCTGGACTTTGGGAGGCCGAAGCTCCTACAACTTCGGTGGCGCACAACCTGTTATGTTTTTTCGCCTCTCAATTGGGCTGGACGATGTTCTTCGGTTACATTACTGCTGCCCTTTTGCAAGGCGAGAACCTTCATCCGGATTGCAAAGTGCTGGTCGCCATTCCCCGTGGCTATCCCGACTTTGTTCAACGCTTCCTTGGCTCCAAACTTCCTCGAGGTGCTCGCCCCGACTTGGTCCGCTTTACTAAAGGGGGCTTTGGGTTGGCCGAGTCACCTCGTTTGTGGTCCAAAAAGCTGGAGAAGACACTGACCAAGTTGGGTGCCAAGGAGTGGCTGTTGATCCCTGAGTATTTTCGGTCTTCGTCCACGGAGAGATTGTGGCCATGAATGCCTGCCATGTCGACGACGTTAGACTCATTGGTCACCCACAGAAGGCCAAGCCGGTTTGGGAAGCCCTCAAGTCCGAGTTCACCTTTGGTGAATGGCGCAACGTGGCCGAGGATTGGGCAAAGTTCTGCGGCAGGTATGAGCGCCAGCTACCAGATAGGACTGTTGAGGTGCAGATGGACGACTACTGCGAGAAGCTGCAGTACCCACCCAAGAGAACCAAGAACAACCCAGTGGAGAAGGATGGCGCCGAGCTCACCTCCAACTTGGGACATGTGTGTGGTCAACTGGCCTGGCTGGCTAGGCAATGCCGAGGCGCCTAGTTGAGCGAGCCAATGATGTGAAGACTATGAGGTTCAAGCCCTTGGGATCTGGTGGCGGCCTCGGATGCTAGCTTCGGCAGTATGCCTCGTCGTTGCGGCCAAGGAGGAGCCGTTTGTTTGATCACTCACCCAGACCTGCTCGAGGGCCGAACAGGAGCAGCAGTGCACGCCGGTCACGTTTCATTCGGCGCTGTTGAAGAGAGTGGTGCGCTCTAGCTTGGCGGGTGAGATCAGTCAAGCGGCTGAAGCATTGGACCAGGCCGACTTCTTGCGAGCGGTGATGGCAGAGGCTCTCTACGTCGGCTTCAATATCGACCAGTGGCTGATGCATGTGGCGCACTGGCGATTGACCACGGTCCTGGACAGCCGCGCGGGCCATGAGCTGAACGGAGCTGGATATGGGGAGGATCGCCGCTTGGCCATTGACGTTGCGGCGATGCCAGCCGCCTGGTGCGATGGGTCCCCGAAAATGACCACATCGCGGACGACTTGACCAAGCTGATGGGCAATGGCAAGTTGATGGTGTCAATCTCGGACAATGATTGGTCCTTGAGAGACACGGCGGAAGCCAAAGCGCTCCGAGAAGATGCTGACTGCGCATCGCGGAGCGCCGTGTGGAGGCCGAACACTTGCGCCAAAAGGGGGTAAGTGTCGGTCGAAGCCTGGGACAGGCCGAAGCGAGGTGGAAAATAGGTGTGTGGCGTCGTCCACTTTTAGTGTACCCCGAGTCCGTGAGCGTGAGCGTGAGGCCTCACGCCCTCTACCAACACAGGGCATGACGTCGCGCGGCGCCTCCATTGCACTTCGATACGATAGAGGTTCATTCAAGTGATAGTCCAACAATGCCAAGACACTTGACTTGGTGTAACCACAAGGCGAAGAGTCCGCAGCAGGTATTGTTTGAAAAAAGGTCGATCTCTGCAATCAATCAGCGTAAACGACGAAACAGCGCGGCGGCTGCAGTAGTGGGGGAATTTGAAGGGAAAGTCGGCAGGAAAAGTCGGGTCACTTCTAGGTCAAAAGTTCAAGCCAAAGCAGGCGCAGGAAGGTGATCAGCCTTCCCTTCCTATCCATGACCGTAGCTTCGTTGCACTCGGTGGGTCATGGATGCCGTGTGGCCCCGCTGAAGTAAGATTCGGGACCCTCAAAGAAACGTCAAGAGGTCGCATGAAGGCGCATGATAAGACAGGTACTCAAACTTGGTTATTCTGTGAAATTGCCGTGAGCCTCGTCAGCATTCTTTCAGGCGATCCTTGCAAAGCAGCTGGGCAGATAGGAATCGTCTCGGGCATAAACGGAAATGCCGCAAGTGATAGTCCACGACGGTTTTGGCGCCCCTTGCGAGGATCACACTACGCACCCAAGTGGGAAAGCGTAGTAGTGCACTACGCGCTTGGATAGAGGTTCATTCAAGTGATAGTCCAACAATGCAAGACACTTGACTTGGTGCAACCGCAAGGCGAAGAGTTGATCAGCCTTCCCTTCCCATCCATGACTGTAGCTTCGTTGCGCACGGTGGGTCATGGATGCCGTGTCCCCCATGGAACCTTTTGGTACAGGGTGGGACACACTTGGATAGATGCTCGCAAGAGCTAAGTCAGTGGATGAATTTCCCCTTTACACTCATTAGCGCTTGACTTGAAAGAACCGAAGGGCGCTGTAACGGAATGGCTGCTGAGTCGGCTGACTTGAAGGTGTTTGAACAGTTGTTTTCATCTCTGAAGTTCCAGAAACTAGTTACTGACTACCTAGCACTCCAGTTACTGAATACCTAGCCCTTGACTTGCAGAACGGTAAGGTGAAAA